ATGTCACCAAGCTGCACATTACCCAACCCAAAGATCACCTGTGGAACTCAATGGACTGGATCCGCCAGTAACACGGGCACAGCTGAGCAAACGACTGGTCCGAGCGCCTGCAGCGCCCGTGTGACCCCCACGTGCCCTCTTCCCTTTGACCTTGGGGTGCCACCAATACCTGTAGGATTGCCCAGGATGGCCTGCAGGCTGAAGATCTGTGCTAGGAAGATTCCCACGATGACAAACACCTCGGTCATTGTTCCCAGAGTGCCCCTAAGGTTCTTGGGAGCCAACTCCCCCAGGTACATGGGAAGGGCACTGTAGGAGATGCCTGGTTCCAGCAAAACAAAAATCAGGGGCGAAGAAAAGCAGTCCCGGCCTCCAGTGACCTGGGACCCTGAGGTTTCGTTCAGTTCCATGTCGTGATCCCCAAGCTTCTCTGTGGTGTCAGCACCGCTGACAGGCAGCTCACTCAGCCCCCACCTCCCTCCAGGGAGGCGGAAATGGGCCATGTGGGCTGTTCAGTTTGCACTTATGAGGAACCCCTCTAGAATCCTCAGACCCCAGGGGACACGGGCAGGGTGTGAGGAGCAGCCCCCCATCCTGCCTAGTTGTAGAACTGGGGCCATCTGCCCTGGGCAGTGGGACTTAAAGACAAGTCTCTGACTTATTTTCTGGCTTTTCTAAGGCACAGATTACTTGTATCATTTTTTTTTAAACAGAAGAAACCATTTAAGAAACGGGGCTCCCCTGCTGACTGAGACCCCAAATTCTGTATTCCTTTTGCTGAAGCCTTTGTCCTCAGTGTGCACGGCACATCCTCCTCAGAAGACACCTTGTAAAGCCTTATCAGTTACTTCAACTTCAAGGTGAAAGTGTGGTTTTTAAAATGTGTTTTAATTAAATTTATTGGGGTAGTACTGTTCAATAATAGTATATAAATTTATACTCTATTGTGTACTCACCACTCAAAAGTGTGTTATGAAAGATCCTTCCCTGACAGATTTTGTTAAATAAGGGGGAGGGGAGAGAGAACATGAGGTTTGCAAGGGCCTGAGAACAGAGATAGGAGGGTGCCCCAAAAAGGAAATGAACCCAGCAGAACCAGGAAGACCCTCATGTCCCCGGCCCCCAGCCTTGACCCGTGGTGCTGGGCCTCAGACTCTGCCCCGCTTGGTGAACCTGAGCATGGGCTTGGGGCTTCAGCTGTCACTCCAGGTACCTGCACAGATTCCCACCACCACTCGTGAAAAGATGATCAGCTCAAAAGCCTTGGCCACTTTGCTGACTCCCATCAGGATNTACGCACGTCGCTTCCGTTCCTCCCAACAAGCCTACAGATGGGACTGTCACTGCCATCCAGCGAGGCCTGGCAGGGGCAGCCCCAGTCCTGAACACACAAGTTAGAGCGGTAAGACCGACTTCATCTCCTATGCCTGGTGCCCAGACGCTGCTCCTCCAGGCAGAGAGGAGGCTCCCCTGTCTTTCTGGCTTGGGCTCTCCAGGTAAGATGATGAGGGAGAGGGTCTCAGTGATGGCAATGTGCCCTAGAGGAGGAGGGCTCTGAGGATGGAGGATGGGTCTGCCCTAGAGGAAGGGGGCGGGGCTAAGGGCATGAGCAGGAAGGGGCGGAGCTGGAGAATCCGGTGTGGGGCCTCCCTCCTCGCCTGGATTGTCCCGGCACTCTCTCCTGCTGTTCCCCCTCACATCTCCCTCCCCACCCTGCTAAACCCTCTGAAAGTTGATTGGGGCTTAAACTGGCTCTGGGGAGAATACAAATAAGTAATAAAAAGCTTTCTAAAACACCTTTAACCTCTACTGGCCGAGTGGCTCAGCTGGTTAAGAGCTCACTTGGGAGCACCAGCTCTGAGCAGCAGGGCCCCGGGTTCGGATCCCACATATGAGGGCCAGTGACACTGCCCTCTACAGCTAAGATGATGAACAATAGCTCGACCTGGAGCTGGGCTGCTTTGAGTCACCGGTGACGGTGTAGGCTTCAGCAGGGCTGCAGTGGGCTGCTCTACGTGAGTGGCTGGCAGCCAGTGTGAGGGGCTGGTAGCGGTGTGAGTTACCAGGAGTCGCTGTGAGCAGCCAATCAACAACTGGCAAGCGACTGCCTCACCCGGGAAGAGCACAATGATCATACCAACATGGGCCAGTGAAGCGACGTCCTCCGCAACTAGACTGAAGAACTAAACAGCAATTTGTCTACCTGTCTGTTCCCCTTCCCCGATTCCCCAATAAAATCTTTAAAAAAAATAAAAATAAAAAAATAAATAAAACACCTTTAACCTCATAAGTAACTAAAGAAGTAGGGATAAAAAAAACAGTAAGACAACTACTGAAAACGTTCTAGAGAAAAGAACGTCGCGGTCACCTGACTTTGTACCTGAGCCTATATACCTTTTGGATTCACTTTTTTCACACAGCATACACAAGCGTAAGCGGTTCAGATTTTAAATAGGAAGCTATGTGGCAACAGTTTTACACCAACAATAAATAACACCGACATCAGCATACTGGGTATTACAACCACCGTAACCATTCTGCAAAGGAAGAAACTTGGATTTGAAGGTATTAAGTAGCCTGGTCAAGGTCACACAGTGGCAAGTATGTGTACGTCCCTCAGGTGGTCCAGGACCCGCGCCTCTCACTGGGCTCTGTGGGGCTCCTATCTGCCTGTGGGACACCTGCTTAGGACCCCTTGTCCCCAGTGTAAAGGGTGTTCCAGGTCACTCACCGAGATGACGGTCATCACGATGTTGACCACGCCAGCACCCACTGTGACATACTGGGAGTGATCGGCCTCCACCCCAGCAGATGCGTAGATCGTGTCCGCATAGTAGTTGATCTAATACAAAAGCACAGGGGCTGTAAGGAGAGGCTTATTTTTCCTGATGCCACAACAAACAGTCTTGAAATCCCCGGGGACCCCACCACCACCACCTTGGACAGGAAGGGGGCAGTTGGTGGTGGGACAAAAGAGCTGTGACCTGAAGCCAGGACACTTGGGATGGAGCCTGACTCTGCCCGGCACCCCAAGTTATTACAGGTCCTCCCCTCTCTGAGACTTGGGCTTTGCACCTGTCATATGGGAGCTGGACTAGACGACTCGAAGACTTTTCCCTCCATTGCTTTGTGAGTCCACGATCTCAGGCCCACAGAATGACACCTTGCTTCATATTCGGGGCCAAGCCAATCCCAAGCTCAGCTTCTCTCCCGGCCCCGCCCCAAGGATGTGGGCACACACAGCCTTTCTGAAAGCCACACATGCTGTTGCCTGCTCCGTGGCTCCTGCCAGGGCCTGTCTACCACTCCCAACATCACTTGTTAAACATTCATGAGACCCTGAAGGCCTGCTGCCACCTCTTCCTGACACTTTATTTGAGCACCAAGTGGATTACCCATCTAACCACAGACGTTTCTGGAAGCAACCCTCTAACTCCCGGCATGTTTTATTCAGGTCTCCGCCCTTCCCGCCAAACCACCCATAGATCCAGTTACAGTCAAAGAACCACATTCGCAGAAAGTGATGCCACCAACGGTCGCACCTGAGTGAGTCTAAGACGGCTGGTGACCCAAGCTTTGTCCACTAACCGCCTCCCCTGGGAGCCTGAAATTGGATCTAGGAGGTCTCCAGCTTGTCTCCATCAGCTAGTCTCTTGCAGAGAGGGGAAAGGACTATTGGCAGGGGACATTTTCTCTTGGGGACAGGGAAGCAAAGACAAGATTTTGTAGCAAGAGAAAAGTGAGACTGGCATGAGGGAGAGGCAGAATGGGGAGACAGAGAGAACCTTCCAGGTTCCCAGAATCAAGACATTCGGTCCCCGCTTCCGGGCTGCTCCAGACACCCAGCTGCATCCCTAGCCTTCTGATGCCTGAGCTGCTTCTGTAAATTAAGTCTGGTTCTGCTTAAGCCTTTTCCCGGGGATGCCTTGATCCTTGCCGACAATAACATCCTGAGCAATAGGGTGTGACTACCTGGCAGCCATACATTTAGGGCTCTGGCTTATCCCAGCTACTGAGGAGCAAGCTACGTCCACTGGTCTTTTACTCTTATCCCTCTTGGATACAGAACTCAGCTTTGCATACTTGGAACTCTGCAACAATATGCACACTGCAGTACTAATGTGGATGCTACTCTTGATAATTCAGTAAACGCTTGTTGGGTCTAATAAAATCAAGTGGCTTTCAAGAGGTCCAGAAGTTCTGTGAGAGAACCTTGCTTGGATACCGCAGTAGCCGCGCTGCAGGGCTAACCACCCCTCCTCGCGATCTCCCGCTAACTGCTGGGCACACAGGCCAGCCCCTCACAGCCCGGCATACCGCGTTGACCCCGGAAAGCTGCTGGCCGGCCATGAGAACGATGATGGAGATGAGCTGCCATCGCAGAGGCTGGAAGGTGAAGAGATTGAGCACGGACAGGCGGCCCTCAGCCTTCTCAGCCTCGCCTTCCACACGCATTTCTTCCATCTCGTCGTCCACATCAGCCCAGCCCCTCAGTTTCCTCAGAGCTGCAGGGAGCAGAGCGGCCCCATCTCATTGCCAATGGCACTTACCCACGGCTTAGGGAAGCCGGGGACAGCTCCCCACAAGCTCGGCCCAGCTCTGACCACAGGCTGTTTACCCAGGGCATTTTGCACTGGGACCCCAATGAGGTCCCCAACATTGGGATGGTGCCCCCAACCACAGCCACACCCACCCTGGTCAAGCTCTTAACTTTCAACACCCGTCAGCCATGATGTTGACCCTGCCCCTGCCTACTTTCTCCGCTGGGCCAACCCCAGAGCTGCACCACCACAGTTCTATTCTCTCCCATCTGCACCTGCGTCTCTGAGCGCCTCTCCCCATCCTGTTACCTGCCTGCTCTCTGCTTTGGGACATTTGGGCAAACATGGGAAGTGGCAGGGAAGTGAGAGGGTGAGAGGGTCGTGAGAGAGCAGCCAGTGTCTCCAGTACCTTGGCGAGCTGTGTCTTCATCTCTTTTCTGAATCAGGGTGTACCGTGGGCTCTCGGGGAAGAAGGGCAGAGACAGCAGCTGTAGCAGCGCAGGAACCCCCGTGAGTGCCAAGAGCACGGGCCAGCCTGGAAGGAACCGACACCCAGCACTTGAGACGGACCAGCCAGGGATCCCTGGGGGCTCTGGGCGCCCTCCAGCTGACCTTCCCCATGTCCTGACTCTCCTCTTACAAGGTCACTTGCCCACGGCTTTCCAG